TACCTGATATTGAATTCACTGAGCTCAATGGCCCATTTAACCAACCTCCTCAAAGATTCTGGCTTATGCAACACTTGTCTCATCAGTTGCTCAGACCTGGAAGTATGGCCTGAGTCTTCTAACGGTTGTAACCAGGGTTAAGACAAGTTTCTCCATCTTTGGATATCTTTCCTCTGCTCCCCTCAAAGCTCTGTCTCGCTCCCCTACAAGTGTTGCGTTGGTTGAAAAATCCGAGACAGCAAGGCATAGAGTGAGTACCTCTCCTTCCAATGGACTTACCAGGATAGGGGGAGCTCAGATAGTACTTCAAAGCTTTGAATGTTTTTTCACACCCGGTATCCCATTGGAAGGCCTTCTTTAAGACTTGAAAGAAAGGCTAACATTTTTCACTTGATCTGGACACAAAGCGACTCAGTGCAGCTATTCTCCCTGTTAGTCGATGTACTAACCTTGTGTTGGAAGGCGGTTGCATATCCATTACTGCTTTAACCTTTTCTGGATTAGCTTCAATCCCCCTGCTATTGACTATGAAGTCCAGAAATTTACCAGCAGACACTCCAAAGGCACATTTAGCAGGGTTGAGCTTCATTCTGTACTCCTTGAGAACTTGAAATAACTCTGCTAAATGCCCGATGTGAAACTCTACCTTTAGTGATTTTACCAATATGTTATCGATATAGACCTCCATGGATGTTCCTATTTGATTTGGAACATCCGATTTACAAGGCGCTAGTAAATGGCTCCAACATTCTTTAGCCCAAAAGGCATGACTTGGTAGCAATATGCTCCCTACTCGGTTAAGAAGGAGGTTTTCTTCTAATCACTAGGATCCATCCTGATCTGGTTGTATCTAGAGAAAGCATCCATAAAGCTGAGGAGCTCATGTCCAACGATGGCATCCACGATCACATCAATCCGTGGCAAGGGGAAGCTGTCTTTGGGACAAGCTCAGTTGAGATCTATAAAGTCGATACAGAGTCGCCACTTGCCATTGGTCTTCTTGACAAGGACCACATTCACCAGCCAGGCAGGGTAGTCTACTTCTCTAATGGCTTTGGCATGAAGAAGTTTGCTAACTTTCCCATGATTGCCTTTTGGCGTACTGGGACAAAACTTCTTCGCTTCTGTTTAACGGGTTTGCAGGCGAAATTTGATGGCATCCATGTCTTTTTGCTTCCAAACAAACACTTTTATGTTTTCCTTTAGAAACTGGATGAGAGGTCTTTAATCTCCGTGCTCAGCTTAGACCCTACGTAAACAAGGTGTTCTGGTTCTTTGTCCAGCTGAACTGGTTTTAGCTCTTCCAATGGCGTTGGTCTAGTGTCCATCTCATCTCTCATGTCGAGCTCATCTAGTTGAATATTTTCGACTTCTTTCTTCTTGATAGACACCATGTAGCACTCCCGTGCCACACACAGGTCTCCACGGACCCCCACCAACTTTATTTTTTGTGGGAAACTTCACAACCAGGTGATAAGGAGAAGGTATAGCCCTCATTGCATTGAGGGAAGTTCTCCCCAACAACACATTGTACGTCGAGGGTGCATCAACCACCAAGAATTTCACAGTAGTGGAGGCTTGACAGGGAGAGTCCCCCATTGTGAGCACGAGTTGTGTTGACCCTAGGGGAAGCACCTTCTCTCCTGAGAACCCTAACAAATGGGTGCTTACCGACTCGAGTTGTTCTCTGCCTATACCCATCTTGTCAAATGCTGGCGCAAAGATGATGTCCGTAGAGCTCCTGTTGTCAATCAGAACTCGATGGACAGTTTTGTTGACGACGACGGCTCTTACCACCAATGGATCATCATAGAGATGTTGGCAACCCTATAGGTCTAAATCCGAGAAAGTGATAACTGCGCTCAGTTGTGGTGCCTTGGACAAGGTATGCACCTATGTTGCCTCATCAGTCCTAATTCTGCGTAGATGAGCTTTTCTAGCTGAACTGGATTCCTTACCTTCTACAAATCCTCTAGATATCACTCTGATCTCTCCCAGAGGTTGTTGATGTTGCAGAGGTGCTTGTTGTTGAGGTGCTGGAGGTGGTTGAGCTCAATTTTGATTATCATTGGCCACAAAACGTCTCAACTGCCCTCGTTGAATCAGGAATTTAATCTCTTTCTTTAGTTGAATGCAATCATCAGTGTGGTGGTCATGGTCTCTATGGTAGTCACTACACTTGGTGGGATCTCTCTTTGCTGGATCCGCCTTCATCCGAGGTGGCCATCTAAGGAATTTTTCATATTGTACCTCACATAGGATCTACGATATCGTTGTGATAAGAGGAGTGAGCTACTGAGGTGCATACCTCGGTTGTAACTCTGGCTATGGAGGACCTCGGCAATCTCTGACATCTCCCCTTCTTTTGGGGGAGCAATCTCTATCTCTTCTTGGAAACCTATCTCGTTCCCTTTTTTTTCTGGGACTTCGATCCCTCTTCTTTTCTTCCTTCACTTTTTCCTGTTGGGATTTAACTCGATTTAAATCCACTAACAAACACACACAATCGAAGAACAAATCAAGAATATAAAGCAATAAGAAACAAGAAAGAACAAGACACAGATTTTACGTGGTTCGACAATTTGTCTACGTCCACGAAGCTGCAGGGATTTCACTATTGAGAGAGTTGAATTACAGAGAGCGGCTGTACAATCCACAACAAACCCTAATCACCAAAACAACAGGGTTTATATGTCCTTCGCTCCATGGACTAAGCCTCAGAAAAATTTTCATTAAAAACCACACAACATTACTTCGGGTCGGGTCATCATCCGGATCACATATACAAACTAGACTCCATAAAAAAAATCAACAATTGCTTCTATGAGGAGGAGTTCCCTACCTTTGAGAGAAGGGCTTCTTCGACATTTATATACATTTCTGCTTTAGCTAGCACCTCTACCATGCTTGGTTGCGGGTTCTTTGATATTGAAAATATCAGATCTTTGGACTGCACTCCTAACCCAACAATAAAAGCAGTGATAGCGAACTTCTCATATGGAACATCTACCTTCAGGGATTCTGAGTTGAACCTTTGAACAGAAAATCGTAGGTTCTCGTTGGGCCCCTGTTTCACATTCAACAAGTGATAACTCAGCTTTCAGTAGGTCCAAGCTCCTATGAAATGGGACACAAAGGATATAGAGGGCTCCTTGAAGGAAGAGATTGATGTCGGGGAAGTTTGTTGAACTAGGCTAGGGCTGAACCTTATAGCGTGATAGCGAAGGCTCGGTATCGCACAGGGTCATGATATTCATGCAGCTCCATCTGGATTTTGTAGGTGTTAAGGTGGTCTATGGGATCTTTAGTCCCATCAAATGTCTCTATCTGTGGCATTTTGAACTTTGGAGGGAGGAAAAAATACAACACCCCAACAGTGAATGGGGATTCGATTTGCTGCACCAATGAATCCATTGTCATTGGGATCTTATCCCTCACAGCTTCCTTCATGTGACTGAGCTCTTGCTGGATATCACGGAAGCGCTGCTCCCAGTATTGCTCCCTTCTTTCTTGCTGGAAAGGGAGAAAATCATTTTTCTCGATCCCTTTGTTCTAACTTTTTCCCTCTTCATTCTCACCATTCCTAGGAGGCAGAGGGGGAGCGTGGCTATTCTCACCCCCTTCGTTGACTTCTTTAAGGGGGTCGAGATGCCAATGCTCCCCCTGCGAAAGACCTCTCTAGGCTGGTCTGGTCTGCTGAGGACCTTGCTAGAGCTTTAAAAGCTATTCGTTCTGCTGAAATAGACGTTATTTTACTTTGCGAAGAACCTCCAATTCATTATTCGTTGGGGGATCGATTTCAGCAATGGGGATGAAATCCTGAAGGTTTTCGTTTTGCCCGCCAACAGTGGCTTCTTGTTGGTTTTGGATCCGCAGGGGATTCACTTGTTTCCGGCTCATGTTGCACGTTGAGACCATCAATTATTGAAGAATCAGCGTATTTGTAATAGGAACAATCGTTTTTCATAGACGGCGTCAAACTAATGGTGTTAATTAAGTGGATGAGCAGAATGTGTAAATTACTCAAATCAGTCTGGATCTAAGTGTTACAAAGTTCATGAGGATTATGATTAGGTTCTTGGGGAGTTGAGATGACTTTGCACAATGAAAGTATAGTGGTTCACCGAACTCGAGAGCTCGGCTAGTCCACTCTTAAGGGAGTTACTTGCTCCTTGGATCTATATTGATGGCTGCTATAAATTACAGAGTGTTTCTCATATAATTGGGGGTCTCTCCCCTTCGATGGAGGCATTGTTCAGTATTTATAATCCGATTCCTATTTCTAAGGGATCTACAACGAGATCCCTGCCCTTCATCTGTGGGGTTTCCCTTGATTTTGGGAGAGGATCTTGGGTGGTTGAGAGTTTTGTGTCTTAATCACTGTCTTTTGTTGTTTTGGAGATGCCTCCTATTAGCCAGTTATTCCCTTCTCGTCTCCTTTATTCTTTCATACAAAGCGAGCTCGAGATCTGGACCTCTAAGCTCTGGGTTCTTTATCCGACCTCTTTGTCTGACCTCACTCCCTGAGCTTATACTTAGTTAAAATCCTTTCCATGTATCATCACCATTGATGTTGGCAAAGCTAGCCAGCTTGGCCATGGAAGGATTTTTCTTAAAAACAGAAAACAGTGCCTCATCCATACAAGCAATTCTAGAGCTAGAGTGCACCATAGCCATGGCAATTAAAATGTCTACCACATTGACAGGCTTAATAACATAGCAGCTGAATCACTTTAGATATTTACGACTTTTGAAAAGAGAAGCTCACACCCTCTAGAACCAAAATAGATCCAGTACTAAACATCTGCCAAAAAGCCGAATGTATATGTCAGTAAAGGATGATCACTATGCATGTCCTAGATGACCATTTGTATACTCATTCCTTCTTCAATTCCGAAATTCCGATTCCCTTGTTAATGAATGAATGTCACTTGCCATTGTTATTGATCACGCAAGTTGCATATAAGATACTTCATGGTATCATTAACATCACTACTTTACTAGAGTAATGTGCTCGATTGATAAGGAGCAGCAGCAGCTGAAGCAGGAATCAGACTTGTAAGACAGAAATCTGTTGATGATTGGGCTATTATGTTTCCATCAATGTTTGTGGAACATAATCCGAGAACCACATCAACAAGCACCAGAGCACTAAATTTTACCAAAGGGTGAAAACAGATTTTTCCCAGAGCTCATATCTGAGCAAGTGGGAAATCAGTGTTTGCACACCTTGGGACCTGAGAATGAGAATTATCAAGTCCAAAATCCTGGAGAAGTCAGCAGGAGTGTCAAAACCATTGTGGCAGATAGGTGGAGTATTGGTGTGCCATCCAAAAGGGGGAGTGGATGAGGTTACGATTGTATTCTTATTGCTATCAATCAAAATGAAGATTCAATGAGATAAAGAGCTTTATTTTGTGTGTGTGTGTGTTTTGGATGGAGTTGGGTGTTATCGAGGCGAAGAAGCAGTGAAACAACTGAATTTCACCGAAGGAAGAAAAAAAATTCTTAGGACCCACATATATCACCTTTGATATGAAAGGAAAATATATATCCTTTCCATGGCTTTTAAATGAGCCAATCAGTGCATCCATGGTCATGGATGCGAGAATGAGATCTATCAAGCCTACAAGCACATAGAAGTCAGCTAGGAGCCCCAAAGTCATTGTGCTTTGTAGAATGGTGTGATAAACTACCACGTGGCACCCAAAATGAAGGGCCTAGTGTTCGGCACAAGTACTATTGCTATTGAAGGAAAAGAGGCAGGCCGCAGGCTGGAGTATTTCAAGTTCATATGCAATACAGAAAGACGCCAGGCTTTCTTTCTACCGTAGGCATTGGCTGCTAGTATATATATACTAGGCAAAAAAAAATCAAGACAGCCCAAAATCTTGACATTAAAAGCGCAATGATTTACGGTGACGGCATCATCTGCATGAGGCATCATAAGTAGTGAAACCTTAGACAGTATATTATGTACAACTACTTGTTCCAGCTTGTTCTCTCTATTACTATCAATCAATGCAAGATGCCATCCAGAACGGAGCTCAATTTGACCTGAATCCCATATCCGAAAACAATTAACCTTACAATGTCAACTAACAAGAGAACCTCCACATTCATAGTGCATATCAACACAAACTGTAAGTCCACGCAAAAGTCTCTCAAAGAAACCTCATTATAAAGACAACAGAGTACTTAGTAAGCAAGAAAATCTCTCTGAGAGTTATAGAACATTACATGATCACAGAGTTTTTGGAACAACAAATAAACAGACGTTCCCCACCATCTCCAGGATTAATCCTCACACTAATGACTGCTCTCAAGATGAACCTCTGATTGGAAGAATCATTCAAAAGCATAAAAAAAAATTAATTAAAATAATTTTGCTTTACAGGGCATTTTAGATATCCTTCACATATGAACTTCTTTATACTCCCTTGAATCAAGTCATAACTGATGAACTCTGAGACCTTGTAATTTTTCAGCTCTTACTGCATCTACATCGCTTGATTCATTTGAAATGATTCCAATCATCTAGAGGTTCAAAAATGGGATCTACTTTTCTTTCCCACCAAGACGTATATACCTATGTGGACCTCTTAAAAATCAGGGTCATGAGAGAAGTTTGAAGGTGATGTTTAGGATGTCAGTGCTTCGTTCTCGAGTGCAATAACTCACCTCAATGATTTTCTCATTCCAGAAACACAGGTGCTTCTTTTTACTGATAGCCTTACAAACCCCCCATACCCACCTCCCCCCCCCCCCCCCAACAGCGCGCGCGCACGGGTGGAAAAAAAAGAGGCAGGCCTGGAGTATTTGAAGCCCACAAGTAATAAGGAAGGAACCCAGGCTCTTTTTCTGCCATAGGCATTGGCTGTTAATATATATATGCCAGGCAGAAAAATCAAGCCTAAAATCTTGAGATTAAAAGCATCGCAATGATCTTCAATGGCGCTATCTGCATGAGACATAAAAAGTAGTGAAACCGTGGACAGTATATTATGTACAACTACTTGTTTCAGATTGTTCAATCTATTACTATCAATCAATTCTAGATGCAATCCAGAATAGAGCTAAATTTATCCTGAATCCCATATCCCAAAACAATTAACCATACAATGTCAACTAACAAGAGAAACTTCCACATTTCATAGTGCAGATCAACAAAAACGGAGAACATTATATCCACGCAAATGTCTCTCAAAGAAATCTCATGATCAAGACAACAAAGCAGACAGTAAGCAAGAAAATCTCCTCACTTATAGAACATTACGCGATCACAAAGTTTTTGGAACAACAAATAAACACACGTTCCCCTGCATCTCCAGGTCTAATCCTCATAATGATGACTGCTCTCTAGATGAACCTCCAATTGGGAGAATCATTCAAAAGCATAAAAGAAACATAAATTAATATAATTTTGCTTTACAAGGCATTTTTAGATTGATATCCTACACATGAACTTCTTTCACAGCTAGAAGATCTAAAAAAACTGCATCAATTTATACTCCCATGAATCAAGTCATAATTAATGAACTTTCAGACTTTGTAATTTTTCAGCTCTTACTGCATCTACATCGCTTGATTCATTTGATATGATTCCAATCATCCAGAGACTCAAAAATGGGATCTACTTTTCTTGCCCACTAAGACGTATATGTCTACGTGGAGCTCTTAAAAATCTGGGTCATCACAAAAGTTTGAAGATGATGTTTAGGATGACAGGCCTGCTTGCTCGAGTGCTATGACTTACCTAAATGATTTTCCCATTCCAAAATTACAGGTGCTTCTTTCTACCAATTGCCTTACAACCTTAATAAGAGGAATCTCTCTTTCTCATTCTAGAAGGATAGTGTTCCTTTCTCCTATTATTTAACCTTTATACATTTACGGATATCTCAAGCGACTTTAAATGGATGGACCTGTTGAAGCATACACAACCCTTGTCAGTTAATGAACATCAAAAATGCCCCATGTCAGCTAGTTATACCAGCACTTAATACAATTTTGAAATCAAATTCTTTTGGGTATTGGTAGTCTCCTCTTCCATTGACATCAGGCTCCATGCTGTCCGCAACAGTAATATCTAAGAAATCTTCACTCAAAACATTGTTCAGATTTTGGAACACGTTCTCTGCAATGGTAATATTTTTCTGTTGTCTCCAAACATCAAGACTGGCAATAGATCCTCTCACTTTCATTATTTAACTAATGTGATCCCAATAACTGGAAACACTAGATGGCCCATTGATGTAGATCGTATTAGGGAAGAATTAGGGATGAAAAGAGAAGAAGAAAGGGATGAGAAAAGAAGAAGGAGATGAGAATAGAGAGAATTTTAGAAAAAACATTTAATATCAATAATCAATAATCAAAGTTTTTCCTCAACAAATATGTATCCCCTATATATATAAGGAATTCACAAATCCTATATATATAAGGAGATCACAAACCCTAAAATAAATAAATAATCAAAATGACAACTAAACTCTTAAAAGTTAAAAGAAATTACTTAAAATCTAATTATTAAAAGTATCTAAATAACTATCATAATTAATCTATAATATTTATCCAATTCCTACACGATCCCCATCATTTTGGTATCAGAGCCCAACTTCGATTTGAAAAAAAAAACATTTTTAAAAAAAACAAAGTTACTGTTCATCTCACTGTTCACGGGTGCAAAATTGATGTAAATCGTATTAAGGAAAAATTAGGGATGCGAAGGGAAGAAGAAAGAAATGAGAAAAGAAAAAGAAGTAAATGATAATAAAGAGAATTTTAGAAAGAAGATTCAATATCAATAATCAATAATCAATAATCAAAGTTTTCCCTCAATAAATATGTATCCCCTATATATATAAGAAATTCACAAATCCTATATATATAAGGAGATCACAAACCCTAAAATAAATAAATAATCAACATGACAATTAAACCCTTAAAGGTTAAAAGAAATTACTTAAAATCTAAATATTAAAAATATCTAAATAACTATCATAATTAATCTATAATATCTATTCAATTCCTACACGATCCCCATTATTTTGGTATCAGAGCCCAACTTCGATTCGAAAAAAAAAAACGAAGTTACTGTTCGGGTGCAAAATTGATGTAGATCGTATTAGTAAAGAATTAGAGATGAGAAGGGAAGAAAAAATGGATAAGAAAAGAAAAAGAAGGAGATGAGAATAAAGAGAATTTTAGAAAGAAGATACAATATCAATAGTCAATAATCAAAATTTTTCCTCAACAAATATGTATCCCCTATATATATAAGAAATTCACAAATCTTATACATATAAGGAGATCACAAACCCTAAAATAAATAAATAATCAAAATGACAACTAAACCCTTAAAAGTTAAAAAAAAATTATTTAAAAGTTAAATATTAAAAATATCTAAATAACTATCATAATTAATCTATAATATTTATCCAATTCCTACACGATCCCCATCATTCTCCTCCGATTGAAAAAAACTCTCCACCGAAGAGTCTTCAAAATAGAAGTACCTCAAGAGAGCAGGATGAAGATGACATAATGTCTCATCTAAAATAAAAGAACCATCGACTTCTTTCCATCGATCAGGATAAATGCAAGAATCTCCATCTGTATGAGCACCTGCGAATAAAATAGGAGGCTCTGGAGTACCTCGATTAAGCAGCATGTCCTCCCAATAAAAATCTGGACTAATACTAACATTCAATGAAAAATTAAGCAAATAAGCATTAGATCCAAACTCAAGAATAGCAAAATAATTTCCATTAGATTTGAACAATAAGCATTCAATGGGACAAGACATCAGTTACAAATGAGTAACTATAACATCTTGGTGCTGAAAATAAGAAAGTACAAACTCAATTGAACACTTGACAGTAGGCAAAAAATCAAAGTTAACACTTTCAAGTGAAGCAGAATCCAGAACAATGTCAACAATCTTAGATTGGGAAGAATCTGAAACAAAGTCATGATGACTTGGACAAGTAGACATAGAATAGTCACTATTAGATTCTGTAATAAATGACTCGATTGGTTTAATATCTTGCATAGGTGTAGACTCAACAAACCTTTCCACAATTTTAAAGATCAATGATGATTCAAGAATTGACACAAACAAAGACTCGCACACACTTTCTTGCGAAATGGACTCTTGTGGGTGCAAAGGAGGAAAACTCTTATATGACGAAACTAAATGAGGGAGTTAAAAGTCCATATGAGTAACATTTTTCTCTTTATCTGACACTAAAATATGTAAATCCTTTGCCACATTCAAATTAGGAAAGTATGCAGAAACAACATGGACATCGTTTAAGTAAGCATGATAGTCATATGTGATGGAATTAAAATTGGAAGATGTCCTATCAGCAGGCAGTGATTGAGAACTCATCAAGGTATAGTTGGATTTCTTATAAAATCTCTCAACATTTAGATCATATTGATAGGCAGCAACTAACGTATTAAAAGCGTATTGTTTAACCTTCCTACTAATTTTTTGTCTCAATCCAAAAATAAACTGATCAATTGTCCAAGGTTCTTCAACAATGTCACACAAGTACATGAGATAATCAAACTGGATAAAGTAATCAAAGACACTAGAAGAATGTTGTCTAAGATTGAGCTATTGGTCATAAACTTGATCCATATAGGAAGTAGGCAAATACTTCTCTTTCAATTTATATCTCATTTCAACCCAAGTGATAGGAGATTCTCCTAAGGGGTCTAGGCTTCTTTGAATTGTTTGTCAATACTTCTTGGCGGAACCCTTCAACATCAATTTAACAAAACGGACGCAATGGGAATCCAACATGCCATGCCTATCAAAATATTCTTCTAAATTAGCTAACCAATCCAAGAATTAATTGGGATCCGGAGTACCACAAAATGTAGAAGGATCTTTGATTCGTTTGGTCATATGGGTTGACTCCATGTAAACATTCTTTGACTTCCTATGATGATGACATTGAAGAGAGATTCTTTACTCCATGTAAATATTCTTTGACTTCCTATGATGATGACATTGAAGAGAGATTCTTGAAATATGCGTATTAGAGAAACTCATGAGTGACTCTTAGAACAAGGGAATGACGCCAAAACAAGTTCGAGAATGTAATTGACAAATAATTTGGATCCTTTGTAAATTTTTTTAATTTTTCAATGAATAAAAATATCAGTTTCAAATTTCTATAGGAGTATGCATACCATAATCAAGAGAAAATTCTGAAACTTTTTGGAATGATTCTGCAATTTTATGGATCTGTTGGGAATATTTTTTGTAATTCTAAAACTTCTGGGAGGTAGATTCTGCAATTTCTGAAACTTCTAGTGGTGATTCTGTAATTTCTAAAATTTTCTAGTAGTGGTTCTGCAACTTTTGAAATTTTCTGGGGTGTTTCTATAATTTCTAAAGACCTCTTGGGATGTGTCTGCAATTTTTGGGACTTGTGGAGATGTTTTTGTAATTTGCTGAATCTGCTGGGAACTTTGGTTCAAAACTTAACCCACCAGGATACTGTTACAGCGACAAAATATGATAAAAAAATTTTGTTTCCTCTTTTTTTTTCTTTTACTGATAAACAGCCTTTTTGGATGAACAGTATTTTTTGATGAACATTACACGGATGAATAGTGCACCCGTGAACAGTGCGATAAATAGTAACTTCGTTTTTTTTTTTTGAATCGAAATTGGGCTCTGATACCAAATTGATATAGATCGTATTAGGGAAGAATTAGGGATAAGAAGTGAAGAAGAAAGAGATGAAAAAAAAATAAGAAGGAGATGAAAAAAGAGAGAATTTTTGAAAGAAGATTCAATATCAATAATCAATAATCAAAGTTTTCCCTCAACAAATATGTATCCCCTATATATATAAGAAATTCACAAATCCTATATATATAAGGAGATCACAAACCCTAAAATAAATAAATAATTAAAATAACAACTAAACCCTTAAAAGTTAAAAAAAATTACTTAAAAGCTAAATATTAAAAATATCTAAATAACTATCATAATTAATCTATAATATCTATTCAATTCCTACACGATCCCCATCACCCATCACTTGTTTTCCTTCTTGTTTAGTGACAAAATGCTTATGTTTGACACTGAAACACCAGGTAAGCACTGCAACCTCTACAATTCTCTACTTGAAAAACCTTCTAAATGGGTTGCCATGTCATACATATTAATGAATTCCCATTAAACCTTGACAGAGTAATTACTTTCTACTCATGCTCATCTTCTTTAAAATACTAACCATTTGAATTGTCAAGAATTAGTATTTTTCCTGCAAAACTAGACGCATCCACACAATCATGTTGTTTGCACGACTATCTTGGTGTGATCAAGGAATTGAACACAGGTAACTAAAATTCAGGTTCAACCCCCCCCCCCTCCCCCTTTTTACTGAGCAACATATACACATACTGATTAAACAAACCTACCATAGTGGCCATGGTGTTTTCCAACATCTCATCAACGAAAAGAAGAACGTAAAAGAGGTTGTAACTTTATCAGAGAAAGCATTTCACCTTATGTGATCCTCTCATCGAGCCAAGCCCTCCACTTTCATTCATTTTAACACAATTGTCTTTCATCACACACTCCACTCAAAATCTCCAATCAATTTATATCAATACTTACAAGACAATCTCACAACCTCACTCAGACCTATGTTGTATAGATAAGGAAGATCATTTACTTATAGCTGGCAGATCAAGTACATGCCTCTTTACAGATTATACAGCAATCAACGATCTTCCAACAAATGAATTTAGAATCCAAATTAAAAAAACAAGAGAAAGAAACAACAAAGCCAATGACCAAAATAACAACAATAAACACCAGGTCCTTTGATATACACAATAGCCAATGACCATTGACCATGCACTATTAGTAAAATGCACGCACCCATGTAACAAAACAGACTTCCACCCGGCAAATCAACTAAGTAAATTTTACTTTTGATTCCTCTAATAGTCACTTCATTTTGTTAATATACCATAATGATATGATATATATTTTTTTTAAATTAGGAAAAAATTGCTAATTTTCCTTATTATGTTAATGAATTACCAAAATATATAATTATTAAGTCAGTACATAATAATAAGAATATGCAATACATTTTGTTACAGACATATCCTGACCGTATTCGTATCCTAATACATTTTGTTATAGATGTATCCTGACCGTATCCGTATCCTATTTTTTTAGATTTTATTATACCTCCGTATCCGTATCTATATCTTGTATCCGTATACATATCCGTATCCGTAGTAAGCTGATCTTTCTGTTTTATCTTATATAAACCTTATCACACTAATATTTTATATTAAATTGCAATTAGAATGATTCTGTGTCAAGCATGTAGCATTCCACTGAAAAAGGAGAAAGACTATATTCCTATTCGATGATCCCAAGTAACTGAAGAGATGAATACAGGAAGCAAAGAATGGAATAAGAACTGGACATTTGGACACCAAAGAAGTAAGCTTCATCACACAATTTGTACAATGGAATAAAAAGGATTCACGGCCAGAAGTTATTCATCTAAAGATTCATACACATCAAAGCAAGTCTATCAGTAGCCATTACTCCTTAGTTTAAATCTGGTCTCAATTATGTGTTGTTCATAGCATTTACCATGGAAAATAGAAGAAAAAAAGGAAAACATAGATCCTAAAATTTCCTCATCTGGGTTCAAGTGATATCACTAGACTTTAAGAATTCTAAACTCGATGCTCACCAAGATCGACAATAAACAATGAAAAATTCCTCAATTAGAAAAACAATCTAAGAGATACTCAAATACATCTCACTTCATTTTCTGTAATTTCGGGACAAAATGAGATAAGTTCAGAAGAAGTTAACAAGATTCAAGGATTCAAGAGGGAAGCAAATACCCGTGCTCATTGTTATTTCATTCCAAAACCACTTTTGCGCCAACAGCTTTCATCTTTTCTATTATTTGTTCACCTTCTTCTTTTGACACCCCCTTTTTAAACACTGCAGGTGCCTTCTCTACCAAATCCTTTGCTTCCTTGAGTCCCAACTCAGTAAAACTCCTAACCTCCTTAATTATCTTGATCTTTGAAGCAGCATCATATGACTCTAGTTTTAGTTCAAAAACAGTCTTCTCCGGTTTCTTCTCCTCCTTGGTCGCAGTAGATGTCTTCATGGCTGCCCCAGCCATTCCAGCAGCTCCTGGTTTCATGATCCCGACAATTGGCGGCTCCTTCATGCCCATTTTCTTCATCAAAATTGAGGAGAGCTCTGCAACTTCAACCAATTTGAGCCCAGATATTTCATCTACAAGCCTCCATACCCGCTCCGTTGGAGGGCTACGATGTTCAATAGGATCAAAAGTTGCAGGGTCATAATCAGCGGGGAGTCTTCTTTGGTCAATCTCTACTTCTTCCTCCTCTTCTTCCACTTTCCTTGCAGGTTGAGTTAAGTGTCGATTTAACCCAATTGAGTTAGTCGGATAAATGGCAGTCACAAGAGAAAGAAAAGGTTTTCTACAGAACCCATGAGGTAAATTATGCCTTAATCTTAAGATTAAACTCATTTCAGATTTGTAGGATAATCCTCTCAGCTTCTAAATTGTCACTTCACCTATAAAGAACCAATTTCTTTTGAGCTCTTCCAGGAGCAAAATAACAGCCTGAAATGCAGAAAAACACCAAATGGGAATACAATCAGACATGTTGGCTGACATCCAAAAGACAGATGTCTATCAGGATATAAGCAGAAACTACAGAAAAATGGGAAGCAACAAATAAACATACACACGCATAGAGAGGAAATTGATATCTCTGAACTTTAATATGGAAAAGAAAAAATAAGAAGTTCTCAACTTCATTAGCGATAAGGCTTGGCAAATTATAACAATATAGGCATCTAACGTATTACAAATGTCAATCCAAAATGTGGATCGATTAGGTACTTAGATTGGAACAAAATTTTGATTTAATAAATTGCGTTTTTTAACAATACAGAGCCGAAATTTTGTTTATAATTTTTTTAATTGCATTTTGTACAACACACAATTCATCACAAAATATGCATCGCTTATTAAAAGTAAATGTACGCATAATTTTGATTTAGTATATTCGTTGTAGTTTAATTATTTTAATAATTTAATATTGTTTAGCCTCTTTTTTAACAACACAAGACCAAACAAGACCGATAGTTTCGGGTCGCCGCAGCTGGTGGAAATTGAGGGGGTTTGGGGAGATAGGGTTAGGGGGTTGTGTGTGTGTGTGTGTGTGTGTGCGCGCGCGCATTTAACAGAGATAGGGGAGGGGGTTTGTGTGTGCGTGTAACAGAGAGATGAGAAGAGAAGAATAGCTGACATAGAGAGAGAGGGAGGGTTGGCTGGTTCTGGAGGTGGCGTAGATGATTAAGGGGTGCCGTTGGCGGTGGCTATGGCGTCTTCGTGGAGAGGCAGAAAGGAAAGGGGTGGGGCGCTAGTGCTGTTTGGTCGCTGTTGGTGCTGGCGCTGGTGGAGGTGCCGTGAATGTAGCAAGGGAGAGAGGAAAATGGCGTGAGACTAGAGAGAGAGAAAGAGAGGAAAGTGAGCAGAGGTCTACCCGTCGGAATTAGAAAGTTCAGCGAGAGAGAGAGAGAGAGAATACCTTGTGTGAGTGTTGGGGACGAGCAAAATGGACAGGCGGTCTGAGAAGGAGAGTAAAATGGTAACGTATTCACTATTGAGGGCACTGTTGAGGGCAATAATGTAATATTACCTCCTATCCTGTGGGCAGATTTATCTATGCAGATGAATCCCACCTGCTGCGTGGATTTCATTTATCCGGCTAAGAGGGGATAGCTTGCATTTTACGAAACACGAATATTTTGTTGAGATTGACGTTTTTGTATTCGATATCATATCGAATATGATACTCAAATATATATATCGAATACATCTTTTATTTATCTGATAATAATTAAATATTAACATACTTCACGAATATTTTTGTGATCGAGCAACATATATAATTTTTGAATTGAACTTTTAACATCTTTTTTCGAATTCATATATCATACAATATATTAACAAAAAAATTCATATTATTCCAAAAGCATATGAATGTTTCTTAAGTATTATTTAAAATTACATGTCAAAAGAGTATAAAATAAATTTATTACATTATTATCTTAATAAAAATTACTTCTAAATACTAGGTAAATACTAATTTTGATTTCTTTAATTAGTCACTTCACGTTGTGAATATACTACAGCGATACGATATATATTTTCTTGAAACTAAAAAAATTACTAATTTTCCTTATTGTATATTAAAGAACTACCAAAATATATAAATATTAAGCTAATTGAAAATAATAAAAATAATAAATATATTTTATTATAGTCATATCTTTGCCGTACCTGTATCCTACTTTTTTAGACTTTGTAGTATCATCGTATATGTATCATATCATACCCGTATCACGTATCTGTATCCGTACTTCATAGCTTGCATGAGAACATACGGGTCCGATTAATATGTACCCAACGATTATCCCTTTCTCTTTTTTGATTCATGGGTTTTGTGGGTTCCCAATATTTTTATCCAATCTAATTTGACTTATTTCTTGTAACACCCCAAAACACATTCTGGATAGCATTACATTCTAAAATCATTCATATTATGAGAACACTAATATAATCCCTTAAGAAACAAGACTTCATTTGTCATCCACGAAAATTTACAACATTATCCCAAAAGAATAAGCCCAAGACATGGCTATTACATCTCAAAAATTAATTAAAGAAGCGCAGCGGAATAAACAAAAGAAGCTATACTACACAATGTTCCAAAAGAATATCCTAATCTAGTACAAAAGGAAAGGAGGTCACTCTATGCACACACCTCGGGATCCACACTCCCGTCTAGAGGAGTCTCCCAAGTAGCGAGCTCTTTGACCCTTACGTCCTCTTCCTCAAGCGGGTAATCTAAAAATGTTAGCGATAGGGGGTGAGCACGAAGCTCTGTAGAAAAATTCTCCCAAACCCATACAAAGTTTAGAAAAGTTTTTAAAACGGTCGGTCTCAATTTTAATATAACATAGATACATAATTTGAAATAAAGTAATGACATTTAAAAAGGATCTCAAGTTTATTTAAAAACATTACTTAAATGAATAAACGAGCACCATATACAAATAATAATCGTTCATTGTCATAACTAATTTTCAACAATTCTTTCGGTAGGTGACATACTTTGTGGTAACTTCCACCCCCTTTAGGTCACCTTTGATTCTCAAGCATCCTTACCGGGAACCTCTTGAGAATGGATGAGCATCCTTACATAGAATTTCTCACCAATCACTATATTGTTTCCCAAACATCCTTACCGGAAACCTCTTGGGAAGGGGTGAACATCCTTACAAAGAACATCTCACTCATGTGCATTACAAACAACCCAACCAAGCATACAATTCCAACATTTATCTCAATTTACAAGAATCTATCCAAAAACTCCAAAATATGTCATGTAACAATTCCACAACCTACTAAGAAATACATGAGATCACAATAACATCATTTTTCTACCCAACACAAAGCACTAAGGTTTCGAAATCCATAATAAAGAAAGCATTTAGGAAGAAAATATATTTCTATCCAAAAATTAGGGTTTTAAAACTAGAAAGACGATTTCATGGGTATTAAACCCTACTTTGTTCAAAACATGTAATCATTACAAAAAGCCTAAGAAATGATGATTTCATAGCATATATATACCATTGATAGCTAAACACATACATATATAAATACCCTAGCCTCAATGTAAGTGAATGAGAGAAAACCCTTCTTTGAATCCTTAGTTTGTAAGAATAATTTGAGCTTTGATCTTAAATATACTCTTAAATCTCTTGTTTTTCCTTTCCTTTCTTCTTCTCTAATGCTCTCTAGGGTTTCAAGAGGTGTGGGGTGAGAGTGGAGTGAAAGAAATGAGGGAAAATGGGATGAAAATGGGGTTTAAAACACCTCAGCCCCGAAAATTCACTGTACACAGCCTGTTTTGGTTTTCTCCAAAATTATGATTTTGCCACTAAGAATCTCCAATTTGATCCATATGACTACCCTAAGATTTTTTGATGTTCTGGATTCATTTTTAATGTTATTTTAACCTAAAAATATTTATTTTTATGATTTATCTCAAAACCAAAGTCAACGTACACCCGAAACACTAAAGTTTCTATTTTACCCATCTGAACCGACTATTAATAAAGTTTTGCGTTGTTCGTTTTATACTTATTTGAATCCTAAATGTACTCATTATTCTTATATTTTGATTTAGAATGCAAATGGAGCGTTAAATACAAAATGAAGCTAATTGGACTGTTTTGACATCGCTTCGTTATCTAGGCATAACTCTCTCATCCGAGCTCCGATTGAGATGATTTAAGAGGATATGAAATGATAAGAAAAAGCTCTAAAAATTTCAGTTTTTGATTTTTGAGAGATATTGACTTCATAAAGGTCTAAATCGGGCTTGAAGTTGCAGCCAGTGCACTGTTCAAGCTAATTGTGTTGCTTTGACATCACTTCGTTGTCTGGGAATAACTCTCTCATCCAAGCTCCGATGGAGATGATTCAAGATGATATGGAATGCTAAGAAAGAGCTCTACAACTTTCATGTTTTGAGTTTTGAGAGATATTGACTGCATCAAGGTTGAAATTGCGCTTGAAGTTGCAGCCAATGCACTGTTCACATCATGTTTCATCCCTTTTCCATTTCCAATCCATTCCTAAGCCAACCAAATCCATCTCAAACCTCTCCAACACATATTTCTACACTAAACCTATTTAATACAAGTTCTAGGATCTAAAATTTCATATTTTCACTTATTAAAACCAAATTTCAACTATTATTTTTACTAACATTTTAAATCTCTACTTTTCCAATCTACCAAATTCAAACACACATTACTACATATATCCATATTTTTATCACAATTATTTACTATATATCTATATACATAGATAAAAGAAAAATACGGGGTGTTACATTTCTATTTATTCATCAAACCAAACACTCTTAGGATATGTTTGGTAATTTATGGATGGACTGGATTGGGTTGGATTTAAATTCTAAACCAGTCCAGTGAAATCTAAATTGGCCGGATTTGGTAAGGGAATAAAAAGTGATGGTGTATACCAATGTGGAAGAGCTTAAGGTGAAAGTAATGTGAGGTGAGCGTGGATCAGAACTACGAGGCTTGTACATGATTCTAACTGATAAAATATTCAGGGAATTAACGGGGTACACACAATAAAAATATAGTGGTTCATTGGCTCAGGAGCTCGGCTAGTCCACTCTTCAATGGAGGTTCTTTCTTCTTTTATTTTATTCACTATGATTACAAAGCTGCTATGGCTTTCTCTTACCACTATGGTCCTTTCTATGTTATGAGGTGTTACAGTGCATTTATAGGGTCATTCCCTGCTAAGTGGGATCCTGGCCGAGATTCTTGCCCTTACTTCATGGGATTTTCCCTAATTTTGGGAGAATATCTTGGTTGGTTGAGATTAGGTGCCTTGATTATAGCTTTCTAACGCTTTTAGGAACCTTTTGTGATCTTCCAGCTGTTGCCTTGGTTGTTATTGCCCTTACTTATCTCGAAGAGACCTCTAGCTTTACTCTTCTGAGTTCTGTTCGTCTAGTCTGACCTCTTGAGCTGGCATTTGGGATTTATTTTGAGGTATAATCAGTTGTCCCCCCAGCCCTTGGCCCAAGCGAGCTTGGGCATGGGCTGAACTGCTTTTATCTCAGACTAGACCTGCGTCTAGCTAACCTTAGCTTGCATGTGAGATGCACATGGGAGGGGCTTTTTGACGGTGACAGCAATAATGGCTCCCTTGGTTCCCGCGCACACCTCATCCCATATCTTTCAAGCCTTAAATGCTCAAAACGACTAAAAGAAAACATACAAAACCACCGTTTATCTTCTACGCTATTCACCTTCATCTCTGGCTCTTTCTCTCTGTGATTTCTGGGCTTTCCTCCACGTGATTCCCTTATTCTCTACTCTAGACTGTGCTTTCTGGGTTCAACTCGAAGTCCTGCTTTGTTCCTCTCCTCCAATTTTGTTCTTTAGCTGCTGTTTGTTGCTCTCCTTCATGTTTAGGTACACTTCCTTCTGCCCCCTTTCTCTTTCTCTTGCCTTTCCTCACTCTGGATCCCTCGACTTCAAGGTGACCATTGTCTTTCTGGGTTTTTCGATTCTTTTTCTTTTGGAATCGCGATCATTGCCTATCTCTTCTTCCCGCTTTGTGGATTGGAACTCCACTATGCAAATTCTTACTATCGGGAGGTATAGTGTTGACCCTAGGATTATCAGGGGGTTTATTTAGTATTCCTCCTTTTTATAATTCTTTTGACTTGACTTTCTCTTTGCCAATCATGTCTGCCTCCTCTGGAGCAACTCCCTCCTCTGTTTTCCTCCTAGGCGACAGGTCTGCCGAGAGAGATTTTGATTTAGGGGATGTAGGTGATGAGATTGACAACTTCCCCGGTGTTGAGGCTGTCAATACCGAGGTGGACTCCAAGGAACTCCCCTCATCTTCCTCTCATGTATCTCTTAGTGCTAACAAGGATAAGGGCAAGGTGAGTGAGGTTGGGATTCCTGATAGTACAACGGGTATGGGGGCTACCTTCAGGCATGCTGACCTCATGGGTCCTAGTGGGGTGGATCCTATTCTCATGGAAGCTCTTAGTGCTCGTTTTGATTTTTTCTCTGCTGTTCAGCCCT